GTTGCCTGCAGTAAAATACACACAAGTAATCTGGCTTCAGCTGAAACAGGGAAACCCACATGAACCCAGAGTTCAGAGGCTATGTAGACCTATCACTGAAGTTTGATTGCAGGTCTTTAGGGCCTAAGTTTCTGCCTGGCTCTCAAAGCCAGATGTATTAAAGGATTTCTGTTGTTTTAACAGCTTGGGAACCTCTTACAAATGACAGATCAGAGGATGTCCTTCAATTTTTTTCTTACAATAATGGGTAATCATATCTGTTACTTAATTTCTGTTTTTCATACCCCGTGTTTCATTGGATGCCTTCGCCATTTACAATTACTTCCAAAAGCGTAGGTTGCGCACTGGGGTCCTTTGAAAATCCCCCTCTTCAATTTTCAGCGAAATAGGTGGTTGACCCCTGGAGGAGTAGAAACCAACTGTGTCTTTTGCAGCCTTTAAGAGTGTGTGTTTCAAAGAAGAAACATTTCTGTTTCTGAACAGAACTTTTCATAAAGTCTCAGATCAACACCACAGGAGGGTCCAGTCCAGTCAGAGCCCACATGAGGGATGGTTTCTTCTTTATTTCTGTAGTTTAGAAAAGAGGCCTAAAGAGAACTAGTACAAGTGCAAAAAGGGATTCATGGCAATGCTGGGAATACATGTCTCAAGAAGCAAATAAAAATAATTCCTTATACAAGAAAGAGTCAATTCTGTGCCTGTACAACAGCCCTAATGTAAATGAATAAGATATGCTTTACTCACCTTTTTTAAAGCTGACTGAAAAAGAAAATATTAAAAAGTAAAGTTTTAGTTTTACTTGGGAGTACTGCACTTTTCAACAGCCTTCTCTCTCCTCCTTCACCTTCTTGATTTGAAATCTGATGCTGCAAGGAACAAGAGCCAACACAAATCAAGTTATGAATTAGCCATTAAAGAAATTGGGTAGGAAAAAGACAACAATAAATTAAAATACCTGGAACATCTTGTCCCTGCTTAGTGATTTTGAAATTACTTAAGCAAATATGCCCGCTTGATTCTAGTCATTAGAGTCAGGATGAAAATGTGTGAGTTTTCTTCCTTGTTATGACCCGAGTTCAATAAGCAACACGGAACCTGTAGCTTTGTGTACTGTGAGGTCACAGCTTCTGAGGGGTGTTACACTCTCCCAATAATCTTCTCACTGTCATCTTCGTCTGGGTGAGTACCGCCATGCACAGATATCTCTGTGGAGACAAATAATTATGTCTGTGACATTACTTTACTGTATTAAACTTTATTAACTAAAGCTACTTGTGTTGCAATAGAAAGGACACTTTGATTCCATAGCTGTGATAACTATTTTGGAGGTAGAGGTAAGTCTTTTACAACAGTAATAATGACAGAGATGCAGATTTGTGTGCTGTATGTGTCATTAATGATATAGAGGGTGGGTGTAATCACAGGGCTGGGTATGATAATAGACTCATCTTGTCCAGCTGGTTTGACTGTATTCACAGCTGTATTCACATCTGCGGGCGGCACTTTGACATGAGTGACCTGGTGCCTGGATGGTTATGAAGCTAATAAATGACGTGAGCTTTCTTACTGTAAAAATGAAGAACAGAAATGGCTCTTAAATGTGATTTTTATTATTCAGTTTATGAAGAAACAGAAAATTAAATAGGGAGCTGATTGTGTAGTGAATGATATATCTCTGTAGGTCAGGAAATTCCTGTTCAGTTCCTGTAGCAGACATTTCGGCTACACAGCATCAATCATTTCAATATTGGTCTATTTTGCCCCTTTTGCAGATAAAGAGGAAGGATGTTCTCTTTAAGTACAGTGTAAATTGTTCATGCTTATCAATTCAGTTGTGTGTCAGACACAGTGATTTAACATTCTAATACTGCAGCAGAAATGTCCTGCAATTTTAAGAGACTAAAACCCATTATATTGATTATTGATTACAAACAAAGCACAATGATCCAATTAAACAAAAAAAAAGAATTAACAATTTTCATTTTAATTGGGTAGTACATTAAACAGTTATCTGAATTGTTACATAATGAAAAAGTCATGAAATTGATGCAGGAAAATTATCTTCCTGAACTGTATGATTGGTTCATGTTTGCCCCCTTCAAATTCTGTTGCCAGCAGTAATACATCCATCACCACAAAGGTGGTTACTTGTGTGTCCTGAGAGAGACATGTGCAAAGAAGCGATGAAAAACAGTGAATACAAATACATGGGCTTATCTTTTCCTTCCCTGAAACTGAAGAATCACAACAAGCTGTTGCAGTCTGTGAGGAGTGCCGTGGAGGTGTCAAGGATGATCAGAGACACAACAGATGTTGTTTGGACCAGAAGCACACCAGTCAGGCAGGAGCCCAACTGCTCTGTTGGGGGGTGGGGTAGCTGAATCAGTACTGAGGTCAAACTCTCACCACAGACACCATATTGAGAAATGTGAGGGAATTTCAAAAATTATATTCAAAATTAAGCAGTCAGTACAACTGTATGAAAATATACTAGGAGCTATATAGCACTGCAGGTCTTATAGAGGACCTAAAGGTTTCTATAAAAATTAAGTTATGATTGCTTTTTTGCAGGTGGTTTTTAATATGAATACTTTCAGCATGTCAATTACTGTGTGGTATCCAATGACTCATAATGCTTGTTTGTAGCACATTATTGCTCAGTAATTACAGATAATAAGAGGTGTTAATGGATCTCTACATACTACATAAGCAGCTGCTGTTCCTAGACACTAAGGGAATGGCCATGACTGTGCTCAGTCCTGCCCCCTTGAGGCTCTGTTTGACTCTGAAACCTGATGGTAAGAAATTTTGGCTGATTTTAAACCAAGGAAATGTATTCTAACCTTTTCTGAGCACAGTGGGATCCCCCCATTAGAAGAATCAATCATTCCTCACTCTAAAAGGACAACATGAGTGACTGTCAGGTTCTCGAGGAATATTCTAATTTAAATACACAAATAGAGGTTTGCAAAATCTTCCTTAAATAAGGAATGTAACTTATATTGAGTCTGACAAGGATGGAAAATGAAGTTAATTAGTGCATATTGAACAACTTCTGACAAAGACCTTCAAGTCTTTTTAATTAGATAAGGAAATATTTAATTCTGAGCTACCAAGTACAATATATCTCTAACTCACTAACTACCCTGGAACTCTGCACTGTGTTTCTAGCAGCCTGTTCGGCTTGGGCAATATCTTGTCATTATTGTAATGGGAATGTGCTCTGTTAATTTTTAAAATATATTACTGGGTATTCTCCCACAATCTGTTGCTTTCCTGTCCTTCAGCATACAGTATATCTCACTGGGGTAAAATGCAAGGAGGTAAAATGCAATAGCAAAACTCATAAAATTCTATAGTTATAAACTTTACACTTTGTGTCACATGCTGACAGTTCCCATGTTTAATCAGTTCTTTTTTTCACAGCTGGTAATCAGAGCAAAGTTCTTGCAGAATCAGAACACTGAAGAATTCCATACTATACTGGAATTTGTATCTTTAGGACATCCAGGTTGCACAGAGGGTGAGGGGGAGTTGAAGGGAAGGACAGGAGGTAGGGGCTGCCCTGAGAGGGATCCTGGCTCTTGTGTGGCTTGAAAAGGTTCCGGAGAAGGGCCAGGGCTGTAGTGCAACTAATAACGCTGTCAGCAGTGGACAATTGGAAGGCAATGCTGAGTCAGCAAGAGGAAGTCAGCTAGGCAGCTCACAGGATGTCCAACAGGACAAACAGAAGAGAGATAATGGAAACAGCAATGTGGGCTCCAGGAGTTGAGTACCAACAGCACAGCTTACTGTGCTGTAGCAGTCCTGGGCGTCAGTACAGGGCAATTGGAGCCATTCTGACTTGGACATGGTCATCACACGCTTGCCTGCCTTACAGCTGGAAGATGCGGGAGTTCTTTGTTGTGAAAGATAACTCCTAAGGTGTTGGAAGTGCTTTAGTTGTTCACACACTCATTGTGAATCTGGATTGTTGGTGCTGGGATGTTTGCATTTGGAGCCTTCTGAAGGAGGAATTTGGTTTTACGAATGCTAGGTCTAAGTTCTTCTCAGGTGCCTTAGTAATTATGTTGATGATGCTATCAAGTTAATTAGTTTAATTATAGGTTTGTCTTGCAGTGCATGTTGATTGCTTAGGATGCCTGGATTTTTACAGGTTCAGAAAAATGAACGTGATGGCATATCCATGGCTTTAAGTACACGTCCAGGACAGCAGTCCACTGGCATTCAGAACTGTGCACATAAGCATGTCTTTCATCTTGAAGACATGTTACTACGAATCTTTATTCATAGAACTTCTAATCTGTCTGTTTGTTTTATACTGATCAGCTTCTCCTGATTCTGTAAAAGGATTTGCTTTCCAATTCAGCCCAATATAATGTCTTACCTTTACCACTTTGTAGATCTAGTGTAAATAGAAACTTTTTAAACAATAGAGTTTGTGCAGATGTTTGACAATTGAAAGCTCTTTACAGTGCTGGTGGGAAATACAATTGATTGATTGATTTAGTACTGTTAATATAATAATATATTAAGTTTATACACCACCTTTCATGACAATAAACGTAGGTAACAATATATTAAAGTTTACAGACGCTAGCTTAGAAAAGTGAGTTTTGACATTTGGATTGTCATGAAATGAGGCGTTTGGAGGGCAGTCTTATTATACTGTCTCCTGAGCAAAGCTAAAAACAGAGCTCACTAAATAGAATCAAAACAATGATGTCTAAAGCACTGAACATGAGACTTTATTTTGTTATGACAGGAAAGGTGTGAGTAAGAGTGAAAGGGTGGGATTTATAAGTGAAACCTCTCAGTAAACATCTTTTGTCCGTCTGCGCCGGCAATTGTTCGGTTCTGTCTCTCCATTGTTCTGCAGCTGAATATGAATGTCCCCATTCTCACAGAGCCACTCAGATCCTGCGGGTGCATGCAGAGGAGCAGAGCTCTTCTCACCCTTTCCTCCTTCCTTACCTGACCTTTCCACTCTCTCTGCACAGAGGCTCCACCTGCCGGAATGTCCACAAATGGATACTTCTTCCAGGAGATGGGTGAGTGAGGCCAAGTTGCTGACCCTTCTTTTAATATGTCTTATACTCCTGAGTCAGGACAGATCTGCAAATTGAGAATTCAGTGAGCTTTGAAACATGTCGTCAGCTCTTTTTGATGATAGTTTTATTTTGAGATGGGTGTGAACAAGCACGTGCAATGGAAGACTAATACGCAAACTCAGGATCAATCAAATGTGGAAAATGAAAGTATTTGGGATGCAAGGTGGGTGAGTCTGCCTGCAGTGTTTCAACATGTGCAGTAGCTGGGTATTGGGTCTGTGGCACCTGCCATACATTACAGCTGCATTTTTATGTTGACTGACATTTCTTTATAATATTTTTACCATGCCTCTTTCCATTTAGATTTCCCTCACACAGAATTGTAATGATTTTTAATTTATGGTCAGGACTTATCCGAGCAAAGAAGAGGTCTGGTTTTATTTGGCATATGTTCATTGCTGCAGACTGCCCCAGTTTAAAATATAGTTTTCTAAAAGCTATCATGAGTTTTTAAAGAAATAATCATAGGAGATAAAGTTTACCCAGCTAATGGATCATTAATTTAGTTTGAAGGTTTCCCTGCATTCCCTGTCATCTGTTTTACTGTCGATGCATTAGCTTGACTTTGGATGTAGAAAGAAGATAGCATTGCAATTATGACTGTAAGACAAGATTAACATTCCTTCAGCTCATGGCTGATAAAAGCTGAATTGCAGGAGTATCTAAAATAGTTAAAGACTATCATTTAAACCTTTGATTTCAAGCAGGAGCTTTAATAGTCCACAACGTGAAGGAAGAGAGAGCAGTGTTGTGCCAGGGTGCTATAGTAAGAACATAAAGCAAGTTATAAATGAGATGCCATTAGACCCATCTACTGTAGGCCATTCGGTATCAAGTAGTTAACTGATCTGAGAATCTCTTGACAAAAGCCATGGCTATTAAGGTAATGACAGGCTCCCACAACCCTTTAGGTATGAACTGCATCCTGTTCTGTGTTTTAAATATACTGTAGCTCCAAGAACGTCCTACTTGTGTCCTCTAGTTCGTGTTTCACAGTTGATGCCTTGTAGAATTTTGAACACTTGAATTTGTGGATCAAGAAGTTGAATACATGGTAGTTAATCTACACCGACAGCCGGAACAGGTTTGTTATTTTGAAGCGGAATAGGTAGATACTGTAGGTTAAGAGAAAACCAGCTAACAGGAAGTCAGCTGTTTGTCCTGGCATCTCCTGTTATTACCATCTCCCTTAGATGGTTATTGATAATCTTTTTTCTTCTTGTTCACAAAATGCTCTATTTTCCATTTAAGAAATAAAAACCTTTTGCTAAGTGAAATGCAAAGTAAAGATGCTGTTAGATCTGACTGTTACTTGTAAAACAATCTGTCATGTAACTTGGAGACTACAATTAGGAGACAATTTCTTACACTGAATGTTGAATCTCTTCTTAATTCTTTAACGTTTTTTGCTTTTGTTCTATCATTAACCATCGAAACCCAAATGAACGAGCTAATTTCCATCAGTGCTTTACAGGAAATGACCAGCAGTAACTTGAAGTGTCCAGCTCAGGGGTCTGTAGTTTTGACAGGTCTGCCACTGAGAGACCAGGGAGCTGCAGGACTTCAGCTTCCATTCCAGCTGAGCTCTGCATGGCTCATTAATAGCAAATATTTGCATAATTTTTATTTCTTCAAACCCAGCCTCATATTGTCTGACTTTTATCAATGCAAAGAGGAGAAAGAAGGTATCTGAGATACTCACTGGTACCATCTTACTGCTTTTACTAACAGCCTGGAGAGGCTCTGACACACAGTATTTCAAAGCACACATGCGTTCAGTGCAAACTGAAAGTCCAAATAGACCTTAACATATCAACATAATTACTGACATAATTTTCAGAGACTGTTTCATCCAAATTCCATTTCTCATGTCCATTTGTCTCTTTCTCCAGTAGCCATTGCCACCAGCTTTTGAAAAAGTAGAAGACTTAGAGGTCAGATGTGACCAGTGAATTAGGTCTCACTAGTTTCACTAACAGGGCAGTGAGCTGTGTTTGCAGTTGTGCCAGATCAGTGTGCGGTGCTAGGCTGGGAATGTGATCCTGGCTGTGTTGTTTCTCGCAGAGCTGCAAAAGAGCACTCCTGAGGACAGCTGTGAGGGAAGAGAAGAGGGACAGGACTCACCCATTGCCTGTGAGGACAACATCCACCTCTATGCCAACACCCAAGTCCAGACAGGGGGCGCTGGTGAGTTTCTACCGCTGAGGGCTGTGTTGTGGGCTGTGTTGAGTGGGAGTGTGATCATGTCTCCAGCAGTTTGTGAGTGTATGTGTGAGGCAGAGCACCAGAAGGCCCTGATTCTAGCTGTATATCGCACTGCATCTTAAAAGTTTGATTCATTTTTTTAAAATTGTTTCAATAGAACAAATAAATGCAAAGCTACTAAAAAAAGAAATTTAGGTACTTTACTGTCTGTATTAGAATTCCCTCATCGAAGAGACAGATGAGCACTGCATTTTGGAATCCAGGCTGTGCAACTCTCACACTGAGGGTGGGAGTACCAGGTGTTAGTTCTCAGCTGGGCTCATGTGGTCATTGTCAGCACCTGTGCAGGTGTAATCCTTAAGTGTGGTCCTTAAGGTGATGATCCTTAAGTGTTTTAAGGTCTCTTCTCCATAAATTTAGCTGTACATGTATACTTAACAGCACTGGGTTTAATTGTGGTTCATGGACCAACAACTCAGCCAGGAGTCTGTGGCCCCTATTGGCAGCAGTATGTTAGGCGGGAACTGACTGGGCTGGAGTGGCATCTGTTCTCATGATCTGTTCTCATTGGATGCTATAAAAGTGTTCATGTTTTCTTCAGCTAACATCTACTTCACAGCAAGAAGAGAGGTATTCAGTGTTAAATTTCACCAGTTTTCTGGTTGATTAACAATCATCTGTTGTAAACGTGGTCTTTTAATGAAGCTTTTTAATAAATATATATATATAGTTTTTATTTACAAACAACAATTTGCTGTGCAGATGAGATGTAAGTCACAAGAATTAATGGCATCTACTCTCCAGAGCTTTCATTTGTCATTTTAACTCAAGACAGCTGCTTGAATTTGAGTTACTAGAAAAGCACAAAGAAAAAAATCCCTGTTAATCATTCTTTGCTACAGCCATTACTGCAGTATATCATGGTAAATACAGTATACAATAAGAGTCATGCATTCCTGCCATTGTTCTTTGATTTTCAGTGGTTTCAGCGGAACCAGAGCCCCAGTGCAGATATCTTAGCCAGCTCAGTATGCCCAACTTACACTTACAAATAACATCTAGTTCAGAAATAACATTCACTTTACATTGATATGAGACAAAAAACAAAGCCAATGAAAAGTCAACAAAATGTGCCTGTGAATCTCGAATGTATAAGACTGCCCAGTTTGCTCCTAAAACACTTTATAAGCCCTAGGTAACAGTTTATATTCACAGTCTTTGCCTTTATAAAAACTGAAATGTGGCTGAGAAGTGAATAATAGTAGAACCCTATCACATGCGGAGAGATCCAGGATACTGCCATGCCCATCCAAACACACACAGTGACAGTCTATGGTGTTTCTTCTGTTGATCTGGAGATGAGAGACAGAAGCCATCCGTATTCCACTGTGTGTTGAAGAATTTTCTCTCACCCTCACAGGAGGAGCAATTAAGCAAGAACTGTAGTCTGCTTCTCCACCATTAAAACAAAAGTCACACTGGTGATGCTCTTTTTTTTGTAAAAATCAGTTGTGGGATACCCTTCCGAATGAGCTTCATTTAAAATTCTGAAGCTTATACAGTATGCCAGTTTTGTCATGTAGATTTATATTTTGTGTCATGTTTTACATTTTGCAAAATTAAGAGTGACCATTTTTTTGGTAAATGTGACTGTATTTTTTTCTTTTATATCCTTGGAGTTTGGATTTAAAATTGCAGTTCATTATCAATTTTCAATTGCATTTTAGTGGCTTTACTACTGTAGTCCACACACCAGAAGATGGGAATGAAGTTCATGCATATTTTCATCAGAAACACCCACCACCTTCCACACTATAAATGTTGCCAAAGCTTAAAAAGGCTTAGAAGAGCAATGAAGAGCTCAGCAACTGCACTGAGATCCGCCATGGGGATTACGGTCCCCTTCTGATGCACCTGCCAGTTGACAACCTACTTCCCGGAGAATTGGGGACACTAGGAGACACCACATGGCTATTTGGGGTATTAAAATTATGAAAATCAGTCATTCTGAAGCACTGCACTCAAGCACATCATTGTTCAGCGATTCCCGCAACACATTTCAAACGACTTGGGCTCTAGCCTGCAGTGTTCTGCTAAGAGGCAGGGAACTCTGGATGGGCACAGTGACACTGGTGCAGCAGAAATGCCTCCACTTTACTCTCGACAGCGATGCATCAGTAAGGAACAAGTAAAGGTTTATTCCTTGCTGAAAAGAGAATTTAAGTTTCTCACTTTCTGCCTGATCTGATGTGCTGTGGGGCTGGTGATGCAGTATGGCTCTTCCACATCATTCCAGAGGGGGCTGCATTTCAATGGGGGATGAATTGTATCTGCTAATGCATGTGAAGTGCTTTGGGATTGTTTGGGAAGAAAATAAATAAATGCTAATGACAATGATGGTGATGATTATTGTTTAACAGTTTAATAGAAATATGGGCACAGTTTTATTTAAAACATACTGTATTCATGTAGTAATATACTGTACCTTCATCATCCACTCTAAGCAGGCTACTGTTATTGTAATCAGTAGCTTAGAGCCTATCCAATGTAAAGTACTTTACTAATAGGCAGTGAATTAGTAACATCTGGCATGCTTCTTGGCATGTTGAATTAATGTTTTTAATTACATTTCCACCAATGACACATCCATCCCTGCCATTATGCAATTCAGATTCCTTGTTCCAAACCTGGCTTCCCACGGCCACACTTCCATTGTTAATTAGGTTTAATTATTAACCAATTAAGTGAATTGACTTTTAAAAGGAGAAAAGAGAAATATCCCCATTCCTGATGTCATTTAGGAGCAAACTGACTTTTAAAATATCTTCATTCCGTGCATTTTCACAGATCTTTCCAGTTTATCGTGAGTGCAAAATAATTTTTGCGGTCTATTTCTCAGAAGACATTGTCAACATTATAACATTATAACATTATAAATACAAAACATAAAAAACAAATAGAATATTCACATTATAAATACAAAACATAAAAAACAAATAGAATATTCACAAATAGATAAAATGACACAATTGAATGAAAGGTTATTGAAATGCAGAGGAGCAAACATGCAGCAGAAGAAATCAGGTCAAAATTGTCTGAGGCACATGTTTGGAATATCGCAAGGAGCAGTGCTGGAAATCAGGGCTGCACTTTTGCATTTAGATCAATGACTCCATCTGTGGTGAGACAAGGAAGGTGGTTTTTTTACAGATGATTGAGGAAGGCAACAGTCATAGTACCCAGAGAACAAAAGACACACACGCATGCAGATGAAAAATCAAAGTAATACACTAGAAAAGTAATTTAGACATTCCAAATGAGTTAAGATGAAGTTAAACAACAGAACATCATCTGGTAGTACTTGTAGCATTGAAGCACAAACTCCAGTTCCTAACTGCCTACAACTGCAGTCTTCATCTCTAGCATTGTCTTTTAACCAAGAATATAACTCTTCATGTTGCAAAACTGATCTTTAACTTCATTCATGAGTCTTTGAGTTCTTGAGTCATAACTGAATAAGGTTAGAACATTTTCTAACAGTAGTTATACTGACAGTATAATTGGTCTATGATTTAGGATAGTGTTTTCATGAACTCTTGACGAATTGATATAGTGGCTTTCAGGCTTGATAGTATTTTGGCAATGTAACAAGATGAAGTCATGAGACTTTTTTCTCCCTGTTTCTTCACTTTTGCATGAGGCTGTCTAAATGAGATGGTCTCATACAGTACATTCCCCTGGGCTGGAACAAAGATCAGATCCCACTGACTGAGCACGTTCTATGCACAGTAAAACCAACATTTTCCCTGGTATCTGCTGATACTGTGCTGATCACTGCAGTCATGCAGCATAACATACAGCAGAGTGTGCTGGCTGTGGCCCAGTGAGGTACTGAGCGGGAGGTCCTCTGTTACCCTGGAGAGGGATTTCCCGTGGTTATGGCTGATTGCATTGTTTGCTGTATTCTAAGAATCTTGTTAAATGAACAAACATCCCATTCCCCCTGGCTTTAAGGCTGAGCTCCTAAGTTTTAATTAGAAACTGGCCTCTACAGTCAGCGTACTAGATATTTTTGCCAATTTTCTTACAAGAACAATTGTAATTGTTTCCCTGTTTAAATCCCACCTCATATATCTGATTGAAGGACTGCTAACCCAGTTTTGCACTGCCATGGGCTATAGAACTGACCTGGGTTTTGGCTATAGTGTCACAAGCATGAACTAAATCATTACTCTCTTGAGAAAAAAAAACATTTGTCCTTCCAGTTATCAAACATGCAGTAGGACATGCTATATTTAATACTGAAGGACATGCAATAAACACATGTTAATGCCAGTACTCTGTATTTTTCCACTCTTCTGTCAGAAGGCAAAGACTTTGTCCTCCTTGTAAATCACTGAAATGAAGAATGAATTCCCAATTGGGCATTTAATTAATTGAATCTTAAATTTGCATGGAAACTAGCATTGCTTGCCCCACAAATCATTAGATATAATTTTGAAATGCCATTGTTTCTTTCTTAGGACTTCAACCACACTCCATTTCAAGATATTTAGGACAACGTCAGGGTTTGTTTCTTGTGTGATGAACATGCTATGTGATCCGGGGAGACCTCAAATTCTTACAATCTACCCTAAGTCTGTGTGTTAGCAGAGACTTGCTGCACTGAGGAGGATTATACTGCCCATCTTCTGAGGGAGGTGTATAATGTGTGGAGGTGTATAATCAGGAACATGATAAATCAGTGTCACAAGATTAAAATAAGCCTTATTGTTGATATTTACTGTGTATCATTAGCAGTTACTATAAGATCTTTAAGGTTTGTGTTTTGTTCTTGCTCCTCACTCTTTGACCTCACGTGTGACATTTTGATGACCTCCTCTGTGTGCAGCTCCACTGCTCCTGCCTGTTTAGCCGCACCAAGGATAAACACCCGCTTGTTTATATTTTATTCCTTTTGGCAGATCCAGATGTTTCGGGATGTGTACTGCTGAACACATCAAGAAAGGTATGTTTTTTATCTTGCTTCAGACCTGTGAAGATATTCTTACCAGAGAGGAGTTATGTGGCTTAGTAAGTCAGTGCAGGGCAGCTTCTCAGTTGGCTTAACTGCAATAACCAACAGCCTCAACTGGTAAAGGTTCTTGTATGAATACAGGTTTATGAGGCTGAGGTCACTAGATTGCTGTCACTTGGATTCCCCCGTTGGTGGCGGACAATTAACTGAGTACTGCTGGCTCTCAGCTACACAGCGGCCCCTGTGACCTGCCATGTGCGTGTAGGCTGGCGGAGCTGTGGGTGAGGGTCACACCACTTCTCTGGTCTGCACTGATCCTCTGGTAGTGGGCTTTATAGGCTTTTTAAGATGGAAGGCTCAATTTCCAGCTGATTGCTGAGACGTTAAAAAACACACATGACTAGAGCAAATTAGGAAGGTAAGACAAAATTCATTTGGTGATTCAAACTTTCCATAATATGCGTTGAAATTGTGCAAAAAACATGCGTCTCCCTGAAGCTGTCCAGGTGATTCTGTCTGCACTTACGGCTGTGTGCCTTATCCTGTGCTTCTCCTCGTGGAAACTTTTTCTCCTTCTCAAGACCACGTTCACAAAACCTTCTTTTTAAGAGTAAAACAGTACGTTTACATTGGTTTTATTATTACTCTGTGCCTCTGTATTACAATG